AACTGTGCATATATGCATTATTTCGGTTTTTTTCGTATGCATTATTTCGGTTTTTTTCATATGCATTATTTCGTATGCACAGTTTCCATATGCACAATTTCAGGGTGCCCATCGAAAAAGTTTTTTTTTTTTTGAAACTACACGACCCTACCTCCTAATTGTATTCGTTTTAATGGGAAATATTATTTCCTATTTCTATAGATTTTTCGAAGGTCATTTAGAGAAAGGCAAACTCAAATTGAACAGGTTGCAACAGCAACTATACAAGTAATTTTTAAGCAAAAAACAAAACCGGCTTCAATTCCCATATAAAATATATCTCATAAAAATATATATATATATATATTTCATGATTCAATAACCGGATCAAAACCAGATTAGTATGGGACCAGCTCTGAGACACTACCTTTCCGTTGCAAAAAGAATTATCGAAAGCGGTTGACGTGGTCCAAAGTTATGCNTATATCTCATAAAAATATATATATATATATATTTCATGATTCAATAACCGGATCAAAACCAGATTAGTATGGGACCAGCTCTGAGACACTACCTTTCCGTTGCAAAAAGAATTATCGAAAGCGGTTGACGTGGTCCAAAGTTATGCGGTTAAAAATAGGGAAATTTTTAACTGATCATAAAAGCTCTACTCTTCTACACAAAAATATCTTTCTAACGGTGTTCTTGGTTTTAAAATCGATCCGGGGCAATCGTCAAACGAAGGCGGAAAAATGTATGTTAGCGTATTAATATATAGATTTGTGCCAGTTACTAAGTATAAGATAGTCCGTAAATTTCACAAAAGAGGAAATAAATTTACTTTCTTCAAAAACATTTTAAAAGTTTTCTCACTTATGGCGGTCAAAATATGAGTTTCTACTAAAATTATTCACCAACAAATTTGTGAAGTAGGCAAGCACTGAGACGGTACCGAAAACAAATGTCTTTCTGTGCCACCCCATACGTGGTATTGTTTTTTGCGAATACGAGATATTGTGCTCCAAGGGAAATTTTTAATCTAGGTATGTATGTAGGTATGCTGCTTTAAAAATATAAAAATCTTACCAAAATGTCTCAATTAATATTTTTTAAAAACCAAAATTCCCGTAACTATGTTCTCCTAATGAAATTTGCGACTCAAATACGTCGTCCGCTTTGAACGCCTCGAAACGCTTTAGTTGGTGTCGTAGAATAGATATTTGGTGCCAGCAAATAGTGCATCAGCGGTTGTAACAGCGAAATACTGTACCCATAAGTACATATGTACGCCCTTCAATTAATGTGCTTATTAAAAAAAAAAGTTATAATAACTAAATGCAAAATTGCACGCAAGGTTGTACATGTGTTGTACATTAAAGTTATACTATATTTTAAAATTTATCCTTCTATCTTTGAATGTCATCTCAGGGAATACATATGTATCTACAGTTTCGCTGCATAAAGCAAATTGATTAGTCTAATTCATATGTGGTTTGAGAC